TTTGTAGATCTTGTGAACACTACCAAAATCTGTGAGTTCATGTGTGTATCTGCCTCTTGCATCTAGAAAACAGTGGTCCTTGAACTCATCTACCTCCTCTCACTTTGCCCCCTTTTCTGCATAGATCCCTGAGCCTTGTCGGATGGGGGTGGACCTCGCATTTAGGGCTGCGTATTCTGTATCATTCTCTACATGTTGACCAATTGAACGTTTCTTTATTGCTATCTGCTACAAAAAGCAGCTTGTCTGAAGAGGGTTGAGCAACGTATGATCTTTTGTCTATTTAGTGGAATAATAGTAAATGGGTTTTCCCCTGGGGCCCATGATGTATCTAACAGGTTCTTGGCCTCATTGACAGTATCCATGTATGGGTTCAGTCTTGGGGAGCAGGCCTTAAATACATTCAAAAGGTGGTTGTTTATTCCCATAACATCTATGCCATTATTGTACTAGTAAGCACAATTTTGACATTGATCATTTTTGTAATTCACAGCATTCATAGCTAGGTGAGACTGGTGATTCCTTTTCTCCTATAGTCTGCACAGCACATTCCAGCACTATAAACACTAGTGAGAAGGGATGACAGTTTCAGCTAGTTGAGTGCCAGCTAGATTTCTCTATTTCCTTCCTGTGCATGTCTTCAGCAATAGGGCCTTACCATCAAGCTCTGGAGGGTTGGCAGTAGTGTTGGCAGGAGCATGTCATGTTTGGAGATCTATGGGACCCCATTAGCCAACAAACAAAAAGATAACCCATTGGTAGTTGGCTTTTGGTTGGGGGCAGCATACGGTGTCTACTTAGGGTCCTCTCCCTCACTTTATAACTTCCATTTAAGTTACTTTTACATATATGTAGATTTTTGGGAAGGTTCTCCAGTAGTAGGTGTCCTTATAGCTTCCTCAAAAGGCCTCTAGTGGTAAGCTATCCTTCCCTATTTCCCTCTCCACACTACCCTCCCACTCACTACACCATCGAACCCTTCCTATTCCATTTTACCCTTCCTCCCTTTAGAACATGGTGAACTAGTGAAAACTAGGGGGAGAAATGGAGCCATGAGGAAGCATTCTAGATCATATTCCTGTTTTTATAAGTTTCCAGTGCCTGAAATATTTTCTAAACCAAAGGAAAATGTGCTTGAACGCATGTTTTAGTATCCTAATGGCTTACAATAAAGGAACCTATTAAAAATGATACTGTTAGCCAGATGGTGGTGGCGCACACCTTTAATCCCAGCACACAGGAAGCAGAGGCAGGTGAATCTCAGAGAGGTTGAGGCCAACCTGGTCTCCAGCGTGAGTTTTATGACAGGTTCCAAAGCTACAAAGAGAAACCCTGTTGGGGAGGGAAGAAACCAACAAATGAAAATGATACTGTTACTACAAATTGAAAGTAAACAGAATAAAATCTTTCCATGAACTAACCTCTAAGACAGTGATTCTCTCCCAACCTTTCTAATGCTTTGACCCTTTAATACAGTTCCTCATGTTTGGGCGGCATAAAATTATTTCAGTGCTACTTCATAACTAATTTTCCAATGCTCATGAATCATAATGTGATGTCTTATGTGCTGTGTAGGATATCTGATGTGTACCCCTGTGAAAGAGTTGTTTGACCCCTAAGGGGCTGTGACTCACAGGTTGAGAATTGCTGCTCTTATAAGATCATGGTAATAGATCAAATTCATGTGACCATGTATAACCCCACCGAGGACATTTTATTTATTTATTTATTTATTTATTTATTTATTTAATTAATTTTGAGGGCCTGGGTCTTTCTACTTAACCCTGGCTGTCCCTGGAACTCAGTATGTAAACTAGGCTGCCCTCAAACTCACAGAGATCATCCCGGCTCTACCTCCCAAATGTGGCGCCACCATGCCCAGCCTACAGAGGAACATTTTTTTCTTTTAATTGCTTCCGGCTCTTCAGCAGGTTTTAGTAATTTAGCAAATTACAGGTTTGGAGGTGTGCTCACGATCAGTTAAGAGAGAGCAACAAAAAGATATTCATTAGTGAAGTTAGAACCAGATGGCTGAGACTGGTGGTGGTGGCGCCTGCCTTTAATCCCAGCACTTGGGAGGCAGAGGCAGGTGGATCTCTGAATTCAAGGTCAGCCTGGTCCACAGAGTGAGTTCCAGAACAGGCTCCAAAGCTACACAGAGACTAAAGAAACAAACCAAAAAAAAAAAAAAAAAAAAAA